CAGGAATCATTGTTGCTATTCTTGCTTTTTTTCAGAAGTCTCACCCCAAAATGTGGCAAGTGGGAGTTTTTTATTACATCTTTTGTTTAATATTAAATATGTGCTTTGGCATTTAGCTGAATGTGGCCCAATAAGTTTTTGATGTCTCAAAAAAAAAAGAAGATTTTATTAATTTTGTATGTTTTGGACCAATAGCAAACATATGTCATAAACCTAAAGTAATTTCATTTTCAGTAGTTAAAGAAATTAGATTAAAACACTCTCAAGTTGGCATCAAGTTGGACACTGGAAGTCTTGCCCCTGATTATATTTTTTTGTATTGCATGATAAACTGGCATTTATACTTACATTGACTATGGTCATTTTCACTGAAAATGCGCTCTCCATTGAGTCCTCAGTCATTGTAGATTTGTCACTGTCTTTCAGAGTTCTCATTAGTTTTTCAGAGACAGACTGAGCAGCTCTCTGCCTTTGCTTTCTAATGTGTTTTATCTCTACAGTACGTTAAAACTCTGATGTTTCTTATCCTAGGCGATAACATCATTATATATGTTGGGTATCTCTGCCATTTTGTACAGCTACCTTCTCTTTCCAATTTTGCCATTTTCCATGGTTGACTCCCCAGTTTCCCATTTCTTCAAAATTACTATAATGCCATAGCTAAGATAGTCTTAATGGTTTGTTGTGCGGTGGTCTTACTGTAAGTTTACTTTCTGGCTTCCTTCCTTCTGCTATTAGTTCATCTGAAGCCCTTTTTTCTTGTTCAATAACTATATGCTGCTTTTCTTTCACTTGCTTTTTTGTTCTTTTCATTTTTATTATGCTCTCATCCCCTCCTTAATTTTCTGTAATTCTGTAGTTCTACTTTGTTATACTCATACTTGAGTTCATACCTGGATTAGATTTTTCAGACAAAAAATGCAAGGTTTCTTTCATCTTTTTGTCACGCAGAATGGAACATCAGGAGTAAGACAATTGCTGAATATTAAGCAGGAGTGCTGCCCATTTGGGTAACTGGGGCCTGGGTTTGTGATGCAGTAATTCTAAATTGTACTTCATAGAAAAAATATGTTCCAAGTGTATACAATAGTATTATAATTCAAAACCTTTGCATTGAATTGGCAGTAAGTAAGTTAAATTAACTTACTTGAAGTTCCTGGTAATCATTTGGCAGAAGCAATATACCAAATCATAGATTCATAACGTGCAAGTTGCCAAATGAAAGTTGTGATCTTTTAAACTGTAAGCTATTTTAGATATTTTGGACTTAATTCTGTATTTCAGAGAATAGATTCATTTCCTAACGTACTAAAGCTTGCAAGTCAAGAGAAGCGTAAGTCTGAGAAAATTGGAAACTTTACAATGGCCTTGCTCATGAAAGTATGCATCAGGATAATTCCATTTATGTTTCAGATGTTTTTAATACATTTTCTTGTTCTAAGACAAACATGCTTATGAGCCTATTCCCACATTTTGCATACTTGCATAGTTCTCTAACTTCTTCACCATCTTAATGCAGACATATTGCTATCCTTCCATGGAATAACTGGTAAGTACAAACATTTTAAGCGTATTGTGGACACAGCTACTCAGAATGGAGTTCTGAGCCTAAAGGGCTTTCTCCATTGCTTCCTAAGGAAGGTCACTCTGGTCCTTACTGCACCATCAGGTTGCTTGCACTGAGCACATGGGATCCAGAAGGGCCTGGCCCAAGGGGAGGAAGCCAGCAGGAAGAATTTCTCTTGTTACAAGATTCATATCTGATATAAGAAGTGAAGGTTGCTAGAGTATTGGATTAAAAGTAGTCTCTACCTTTGCAATGTGTTGATGGCCGAGGTAGTAGTCATGCAGTGACTGCTAATGAATCTGTCTTTAAATTCTGTGTACTGAAATATCACTTTGCCTTGGTATTTTTTTAGTGTAGGGTTATCCCAGTCCCTCACTCTGGCTTATGGAATTAAATCATAGTAGTGTAACTTCTGTATAGGTGGTGGTGTCTGGTGTGGACTGTGAATTTTTTTTTTTTAATCTGGTGTATCTGAATTTCCACAAGTAACTGGGGAAAAAAAACCCTGCACCCTGCCATAGGAGATCTTAGGAACATCTGCATTAGCCCTTTATAAAAGACAGTCTCCCCTCAGTTTGTTCAACTTCACAACTAAAGATGTAGCTGTAAATGGCATTACAGAGTTGAAGGAGTTTTTCAAATGGAAGACAGCTACTTGTTGTAGACGTTCACAACAGAAATAAGCAACATTTCAGTACCAGTGAAAACTAGTATCATTAAGCTTTCTGTTGTATCCATGGTACTTCTGTGAAGTATTCGAACCCCACTTTTTTTATTCATCACAAAAGGAGATGGATCTCTACATTTCTTATGGTTTTTGAAATTAGGATTTGTTCTGTTTGAATCAGTTGTACACATAATAAGGAAATCTACATCTACAATTACTTGTTTCAAGAAAGTAATTTTGTGATAGCAGAATTACACAGTTTGTTTAAAACTAGTATACATATTTTTTTTCAAATTTGCAGTTGTCTTGGCAATATAAAACAGCCCCAAATAAATTTTTTCTACTAGATTGTAATATGTCTGCTTGTTTTCCAAAATAATGTAAAAAAAAATCTATCAGAATTTTGCAACAACAGTAAAATATATTAAAACCCCCATAATTTTCTGCAGGCAATATTTTCTCTGAGCTGAAAGATAAGTAGAGTTCATTCTGCAAAAAGTAGGAAGAGAAGTCTAAAAATGGTTAAGAATCTTTAGTAGCTAAGGTAATAAATACTATATATATATAAGAAAACTATCATTTTTCTGCCCGGAACCTCAGCTTTTGTAAGCTGGGTCTCGTTTCTGGATTTCTGATTTTTTTCCATGTTTGAAATACTTAATTTGGCTTAAGTATTCTCTGAAACAGTACTTCACACAGCATTACCCAACTCAGTCCTTTCGGTTCATACTATAGCAAAGAGTAAAAGGTGCAATTTGTGGTCATAGTTCAGAGTGACAGTGCTGCTTTGAAGAATAGTCAAACATCTTTTATTTCTGTCAAGAAGTTAAATGTCTGTTTCTTCCCATTCCCATTCTGCTGCTTCTTCCGATGAGGCTATATAGACACAAAAATGTTCAAATACAAACAAAAAAGAGATTTTTTCATTTATTTTATTTTATTTTTTCTTTCATTTGAAATGCTTACAAATTAAGAAGTTTTTAGGATATCGTGTAGGTCTTCACAGTTTTAAAGTTGAGGAGAATCTTTAGTGAAATGGCAAACACTTGTTTCTGCTATTTGTTGTGTTTAAAAGTATTTTAGTCTATTTTTTCCTTTGTCAGTTCATAGATTCTATATTAGATTTTAAGTATTGTCGTAACAGTTTATTATAAAAAAACAGATGTTTAAGAAGTAGAGAGATCCTGTGGGGTTTGGGAAAAATAGAGAAAACACTAGGTTTCTCATGAGCTCAGTTCAATTCCCCACTCTCTTTTAAAGAAGTAACACTCTTGGCTCTGTTCCCAGCATGATCTGATCAAGGAATGAACATAGTTTTTGCCTAATGATCAGTTTCTGGACAGATGAACGCATACTGTGCAAAAAGCAGAGAATGGGAAAGTATATTAATGTGCCTAGTCATGTAGAAAAGTCTTGTTTTCTAGGAGCATGCTCATCAGTAACTCCATTTTCTTCTGCCATCACTCAGAGTTAGAAACATTTCCATCAATTTAACTAGAGCCAAGCGTACTGTAGTGTTGGTCACCTAAGAGAAATGTGTGGGTTTCTCCCAAGGGAGCGACGTCTGAGCTCCTCCTTTGGCTGGGGGATGTAGAGATTAGCAAGTGGGTGATTGGCGTTCTCCACAAGCAGTAAACCCGTGGTAGAGATTGACTCCATCTCATTAACACATTCTCCAGCAACACTGAAATGAGCGATTTTCTACCATAAAGATGTAACAGTTCTCTAACCCATCCATAGGGTAAATAAAGAAAATAAAAGTGCATCTTCCTTTGAATTTCCCCCACATCGCTTACAGCTTTTATTTGAGATACCTCCCCATTGATATTGTGAGCAAATCTGCAGATGTAGCAAGCAGTACTCTGTGATTATTAATTGTCCCTGCCCTTGTATTTCATATATGTAAAGGTAATTGTGATAAACAACACAAAAATAAATATTTTTTAATAAACACGTACAGTTCTATAGTAGCAGCTATTGTGTAATATCTGGTTAAGTATTAGATAGGCTACATCTTAAAAAAACTACACTAACAGTACTAAGTTTTACAGTGTGTTGAATTTTACTAATCCATCTGTAATTCAGAAGTTTAGTCTTGTAATAATTTAGTGAGTTTTTAATGATAAATTACTGTCCTTAAAGTATAAAAATGCTATAGCATATTTTTAGGCTGGTATTTTTTTCTGATTGATCACAAATCTTTATTATTATGGATTGCGTTAATGTGTATTTATTTTCTTAATCTGTTACAGATGTCAAAACTGATGAGTTTATGAATAATAAGAAATCACATGAAGTGCAGGTGATGTCAGAGCTGGTAGACAACATAGCGAATTATTGTGGTATAAAGCAGGTAAGAAAGCATTTCTTACTGAATGTGACCGTGTACCTTCCAAATTGTTCTCCTTACTGTGTTCAAATACATCATTTTGATATTCTGTCACTGCTGTTCTTATTTTTTCCTGTAAATAATTGTAGCTAAAGAAGGGCCTTGAGGGCCAAGCTGAAGGACAATTTTGTTTACAAATATATCGTTCCAAAGGAGCTGCCTTTCAGTGATTCATAATCATTTTATGACTCATGAAAAATGTTAAGAAATTATCTATTTTGAGCAGCTAAAAATTGTACTGCTTTTTGCTATGCACAGGTACCGCCTTGTTTATCAGTATTATATTGCTGACAATTTGCCATAAGCATCAGTAGGAGAGCAAAACTTTGTTCTTCTCCTTCTGTCAGACACACACATGTGCCACATAGAGACTAAAGCAGAAAATCTGAGAAATTTTGAAAGCTCACAAGAGATTTAAACTGTTTCCTATTTTTTAATGCTGTTCACTGTTATCTGACATGGACTGAGGTCTATCAGTTAGGAAGGAGTTATGACCTTTTTAGTTTGAAGAGAGACCAGATTAAGCAGAGATTTATGTAGCAGAGTATGCATGAAGTACATTTGGTAGAAAACATATCAGATCTGGACACCCAACACCATTATCACCCAGCGATTACTCCATGAATTAGCCGTTTCATACATCAGGTGGCAAGTTCATCCTTGGATGGTGAAGTATTGCAGGATTCCTTTCTGAAATTTGATTGTAACTTACCCTTTCTTACATGTAATTATGATCACTGTTGCATTAAAACTGTGTTTTAGATGTTTACTTATAGGTCTGTTGACAAAACACAAGCATCACAACGATACTTGGCTTTTTTGAGTGCCATATTTCACATTCTATTAGACAAAAAGTACACCTATACCATTTCCTCAGTTTACATATGTGTAATTTTTCTGTAAGCTTTTTCAGTATTAAAAGTTCTGTTAGATTCCATGTTTTAGACCTTCGTTGTGGTAAGAGTAAATTTTTAAGTATCTGGGTTAACTGAGTTGGTTTAATCATTTTAACTGATTAAATCTTTAAATCTTCAGCCTGGCTTTAAACTGCAGTTGACTAGTGGCTCTGGACACCGCATTTGATTCCTTTCTACATCAGAGCTGCACTTGCTTTCTGTGCAAGGGGCTGTAAGTGTAAATGGCGATTAATTTCCTCCAGCCTAATATTCATTCCCACAAAGATCATAGAATCACAGAATCATGGAATCGTTTAGGTTGGAAAAGACCTTTAAGATGATCAAGTCCAACTGTTAACCTAACCTTGCCATCCCACCACTAAACCATGTCCCTAAGCACTTCGTCTGCCCAGCTTTTAAATACCTCCAGGGATGGGGTCTTAATCACTTCCCTGGGCAGCCCGTTTTGTGGAGAACAACCTATATTTGTTTAAAACCAAAGATTAATAAGGTGTCTGCCCAGATTTTATGCTGAACGTTTTCCCTCTGAGCCTTTTTTTTTTCCCCCTAGGTATGTCTGAGTATAGTTTAAAATTAATGTATGGGATGTGGGTAAGGGGGCAGAGACGGCTGCAGTTGGGCAGGCCAAGTCCGTATTACTGTGGGCTCTGGTGTATCCTGCCCCCCATATTGTGCCTGGCCTTTGTCCTGGGAGAGCGCTAGTTGGCCTGCTTCGTACCTGCCCCAGGGGAGCTGCTCAAAATCAGTGGTGTGGCCAGTTGTGTGCCGGGGATAGAGCACATGGCCGTGCCCTGTTCGGTTTCGTGGCAGAGAGGTAACTGCAGTGTCCTGAGTTGCTGCGGCTGCCACCGCTGCCATAGACTGAAGGGCAGGCCCCAAAACTTGGATTCAGCTCTGAGAAGCTGAACTTTGATTAGGAAGTTATTTGGCTCAGACTGTGTTTAATTTAGCTAATGTAAATGATGAAGTACTCTTGATAGGTTTGGGTCAGGCCCGTGGCATCCTTGGAAACAGAGATCAAAACTCTGAATCCTGACCATCTGTTTTGTGAGGAACGACTGACGAAGGCAAAGATTTAGGCAGTCTTCTCCTTACAGCTGGGATTACCAAGTAAATAGAGAGCTGCAATTAAGGCCAAATATTACTGGATGAGACGCAGTCGATTTGTGAGCATCTGTGATCGCTTACAGCGATGGAAGGCGATCTCTCCAGCAGCTCCTTCAAGAGCCAGCGGCGGTGACAAGTGTGGGTGCCCTCAACAGTTGTAAAGTGGATGCGCTCTGTATAGAATAGAAATACAGTAGCAGCAGAGTTCTATCATTAGCATGTTTTTTGCCTTGCTTACCTTTTGCTTCAGGGAAGTATTATTCAAGTGTTGAAGAATTTCACATACTGAAAAAGCTGTAAGAGAGTGTAGTTTGCTTCTAACACAAAACTAAACGTTCTCTGCGTTTGCTGGAAGGTGGTGTTTCATATAGCATTTTCATTGAGTTTTTAAATAGTTCCTGTGAGATTCAGGAATGAAAGGAAAGTAAAAGCCATATTCAGAGAGTAAAAAAGTAGAGCCACCTTGATGACCTAACCTAAGTCCCGATGTAGCTGGTTACTAATAAAATCTCAAACCAATCATTATTAAGTATCTGTCAATGTGCTGCAATTTCGTGCAGTGATTATGCATCTCTGTCAGATGGCTTGGAGTATCTTTAGACAAAGGATTATTTTCTGTTTATTTTTTGGAAAAAAAAAGTAGCATTTAATGAAAAATATTATTGCAGTATATCGCTGAATATGAAATGCTGACTGCTCTATATTAACTTTTTTTCCATTTTAGTCATACACTGTAACAAAATTTATTTGTGCAAAGGTACAAATCCCTAATATATGAAAAGAGCTTTCCAGTTACATTTTAAAAAAAAAGAAAATCCTCCTTCTCAGTTATTAAAAAAGTGACTCCTTTTGTTTTGGTTACCTTTCAACTTAAAAAAATACAGGAATTGTAAAGTTTTAGGAGAGGTATTTCCTTATTGATTTTTTCTGTCCTTCTCGCAAAACAAAATATATGCAGCATTTAATTAAAAAATCTAGAGCTATGAAAACACAACACATGTTTTACAACAGCATGTGTCCTCAGGGTGTTTCTTTCAGATATTACAGATCACTGATGGCTTGAAAAATGCCCTCCATTTCACCTCCATACCCGTGATGTATAATGGGTGGTAGAGGATATTACTCTCTTGTGGTATTTTATAATGTCGTATAATAAATAGTAAAATGAGAATAAAAGCAAAAATTTTTATTTCTACTGTAATCACTTCTAGGTTAATGATTTGAATTAAAACATGAAAGCAAACTAGCTGGAGGGTTTTTTTCAGTTGTGTACTGCCCCTTTTAAGCATTGTTCCTGTTGTACAAGTGGAACTTTATTTTATAAAGAAGTTTTTGATTAAATTCTGAAAAGAAGCCAGTGATGATTCTTATTTGTTTAAAGGCACATTTGTTTTCTTTAATGTATGTGTGAAATTTTCCTTGGAAATTGCAGCATGTGCAGCAAGAGTTGCAATGCGTAATGTAAGTATGATACAATTCTGCATTCAGCATCTATTAGATTTGTGATTTGGTGCTGGGAAATGTTGGAGTGCTTCTGGAAACAAAATTCTTGATTGCACTGTGCCAGAAACTCTGTTTAAACATAGTACCCAACTCACTATGGACAAGACCTTTGGAGTAGTTCATTATATCATGGAAATTTCATTTTAAAAGTTCATGCTTGGCAGATACGCTATGGATTGCTGATTACCTTTCCTTATGTAATCAAAGGAAGGTAAAGCAGGGATAATTTAATGCCGCCTATTTGTTTAGCACAAGATTGTTGCCTGCTTATTTTTAGTCAAATTTTCCTTTCATTTTAAAACGATTCTTCTAGTGATAAGTTAATGATATAGTGCTGTTTTCTTTCTGCTTGGAAACAACTAAAAAAACCTTACCCAAACAGCAGTTTGGCTTTACAGCCACTAGAGGTCACACCTAGGAACCAGGGATAATTCACTAGCTGACTCTTGTGTCCAAATGCTGCCTTTCACAGAAATAATTAAAAACCTGCATAACATATGCATATTCTGCATAAGAGTAGTATCTGTTACATAAAATAGTGGATAAAATTATTACTTCAATACTTCACTTTTAAATAATCTAGAAGAATATTAGTGATAAATGTGACAAATCACATTTTCAAATAGCATGCTTAGATTATATCAATTCTGTTTTATTAAATCCACTCCTGTACTGATTTCATTCAAGAAATTTGAGGATTTTAGCATACCTAGGTGGCAAATGTGCAGCAGTATCACATGATGAGTGCAGCTGAGAAAGCCATGTGCAGCCCAGGTAAACAATTTTTAGCTAATAGTGTGTATTCTCCACTGGTTTACATAGTCTTCAGTGACATTTATTCAAATTTATCTAATTCCATGGCCGTACAGATCTTTAACTTTCTTAGAATAAGGAATAAATCTTTCTTTTTCATTTCAGTAAGAGTATTACTGTACTGTGTATTCTTACCTGGTAAAAAACTATGCAATTGAGTTTAAGAGGATCCATGTAGTGTATGCTGCTGTTTGGACTTGCAAATATCAGTGTAAGCTTTCTTCTGAATGCATGACAGACCAAGAACAAGACATAGATGTTCTTGAATCAAACACTTTCAGGAACATCTACAAAGAAGTCATTATGTCTAGTCAACATAATTTTTGGTAGGTACCTGAACAGGAGCGAACATTACGTTTTTCTTTCCTTAGAGAAATGTCACCTGCCTATACTTGTAAAGAATTTTGTAATACACTTGTTACAAATTAAACCAAACATGATATAAAGCTTTTATTATGTACCTGAAGGTCTCAGGTTATCCTTGGTTCTGCTACTACTCTGTGTAGTGTTTTTCTTCCTGTGTGATATCAGTCACTGAACTGATGCATTCCATCAACTGTGAGACAAAGTAAACTGCCAGCTGGTTACCCCTTCTATTCACTCCTTCCTCCAGAACAGGCAGTGGAAAGCACATGTGGCGTATGAGCCCCTTTGTTTTATTACAAAAGCATCCTCATGTTAATCAAAGCTGTATGGATCATTTTTGCAGGATGGGAAAGCCGTACGAATAAGCATTCTGACATAAAAAGGATTATCAATGTCACCTGCCTTTAGGTCACATCTGAAGTGATTAAGTTAGGCACCAAATCTGAAGATGCTTATTTCTGTACACCTAGCGGTAGTAGACTCCTCAGTAAGGGTGCTGGCGCCCAAAGCTAAACACTGTGAACCCATTCTTTGCTAACTCTTTATCCTGACCCAGTTTAGCAAGGGCAGGTGGTGGTGGTTTATGGTTATTTTCTATAGCAGAAGGAAGTGCTGTGTCAAAAAATATACTGAAAGCCTTTCCCAGAAGGGTCAGGACATGTACGTTGCGTAAGTATTGCAGTGTCTGTTCTCTGGAGCAAATCAGGTAAGACTTAATTCTGTGTTTTAAAGTCAGAAGGTAGACCAACAAAGCAAAAGAACTAAGTGTATTAGGAGGGATGGTACTAACAAGGCAGCTATTAAATCCATGCTTACATTTTTAGGGAGCTATTTTGCATTTGGTTGAAGTGTGTCTTGTTGCTCATTAATACAGCAAATTTTATTTTCTTTTTTTCCCCACTGTCTAGGTGGTTGATATAGGTTCTGGAAAAGGCTACCTGAGTTCATTTTTGTCCATGCAATACAACTTAAAAGTTTACGGAATTGACTCCTCAAACACCAACACAAATGGTGCCCATGAAAGGAATAGAAAATTGAAGAAACACTGGAAAGCATATCAGAGTCGAGGAAGAGCAGAACTCAAAAGCCAGAGGCTGGAAAAGGCTAATGACAGGCCAGTGGAAAGTGAAATTAAACGTAAAGCAATCAATGAAAAGCCCTTAAATGACAGCAGTCTTCAAAGTCAGCGCCAAGTGACTATCCAAGATTTAGTTCCTTCCTGTGGTTTCACAGAAATAGCTACATCTGAAACCAGCAAACAAACTGAAGTTGATTTGGTGGCTCGGGCACAATCTGATGAGAGCAAACTTTCTGAAGAGGTTCTTAATCTTCTAAATGTTCTGCCTGCTGATGCTGTAGAATTTTTTTCTTCATCTCAGAGTAACTGTGGGGAACTGTGTGAAGAGGAAAAGGCACAAAGAAAAATGGCATCTCTCAAGGCTAAAGCGAGCAAGTCGAGTGAATCAAACCTGTATTTTCCATTGACCTCTTGCATCACTGCAGAAACAGAACTCAGTGACATCATAACAGATCTGGAGGTTATTTTACTAATATTTGAAGTAGATTGTCCATTGTCTTTATATTGCCATTTTCATATGTACATAATGCTTGCTGAGTGTACATAGAGTGCTGTCAGTGGTGTAAATGAATATTCTGGCCCAATAATGTTTTTCAGCCAGTTCACAGAAGTATGTCTAGCAGATACAGATTGTTTCTCTATTTAATATATGTGTTGAGATTATTTCAGATATGTAAAGCAGCCTTTAGAATTTTTGGGGTAGATAATAATCACCTGTCAACAGCATACATATTACCACACTCAGGTATTTTACAATTGTGATTATAGATAATTATTATGAAAAGAGTTACATTTACCAGGTAGATGGATATATTAAGCACTGGAATTTCAATTTTCCTGAAATTTTTCATTTTTTAAGTTCTATATTTTTGTAATTTCAGTCAAACTTTGAAGGCATAGGAGAATTTATTGGTATAGTACTCAATAGAAAGAGTTTGTAAAGAACCCTATTCGAAAATAACTTTTTTGTATTTTGACTTTTCAGAGTTCCTTAAGTTCATTTAGTAATCTACTAGCTGGCGGGGATGTGTCTACACAAACGAGCCCGAGCTCAGCTGCCCAAAGACAGCAGCACAGGTCTAGAAGCTGTATGGCTGTTTAGTTCCTATGCCCAAGCTAACGTACATTGATTGCATAGATGCATTCAGTCCTTTATGGAAAGGTAAAAACTTGTCTGTGTTCAGTAGTAACTGAACTATTACATTCAGGGGTGTAACTCATCTCTGATTCAAGACCATAGGTTTGTGCTGATGGCCCTATAACTTGAGCTAATAAATCTCACTGAGTATCTGAGAATGTGTGGAGCAAGCTCATGTCTGTCTGCAAATGACAGGCTGAGCGGCAGGGCTTGTCGATGAAGCATATGCCTTTACATTTGCACAGTTGGATTTTGTGTCCTCGTAGCATGTAATTTGTGTAATGTAAAAGGTAGAAGAAATCTTAATCACTGCCTTTCTGTACAAAAAAAAAATTACTGTCAGAACAGGTAAAAGCCTCATTGTGTTAAAAAATAGTAGTAACCACACTGCACAGTATGTGTGATGGATGTGTGTAATTAAAAAGCTTTAAAATGTGCAATCATTTACATGTTTTAAAAGTATTTTGAGAATTTTTAGAAATAAAATACTTTTTAGAAATAGTTTTACAAATATTTACGATTTTTTATTGTAATTATAAAGTTCTGAAATAAGGGTATAGGAACACGTGTTTGTATATAGCCCAGGACTAATACTGAGCTGTCAAATTTTGCTACATTTAAGCCAAGGATCCAGAAAGTACTTTCAGTTGTACCCAGGCAACCTCACTGAAGTCAGTGACAGTCCAAAAGTGTACCTGACACAGACTGCCCTCGTATTGTTCAGGAGTTTGGGGCATTGTAATGTGTTTCCTCTATCTTGCATGTGGTAGCCATCTCCCCACTAGCTTTCTCCTGAAAGAATCTAACTTCTCCTGTCCTGGGGTTTAAATGCTGCCCTTGCAAGTGTACATTTTCCCTTAGCTTCCAAGCTTTAGTCTTGTTCCACTGTTTCTGTAATTGCATGTGGAAAAAAGCTTTGTGGAATGGTGAGCTGAAGCTGCCTGATAGGAAAAATGTCTTTAAAAACTAAGCTGGTCTGAAACTGAACTTTTGCCACCTAAAAGTTTTGGATCCTAAGACAAGGCGGGGACAAGCACAGAGAAGCAGCATGAAGTGGAAGGTGAGAAAGGGGACAGGAAGAATGAAAAAAACAGCGGAAATGGGACCTTTTACTGTTTTGCACATGCATATACTGTATAATACAGATGGGTGAGAACATCAGATACAGAGCAGCAAAAATAGATGTGCGTATAAAGTCAGAATGATTATAGAAACGTATCCCCGTTGAGTGTCTCTGGGCTAATTTCTTGTTGATAACCTTGTTAATAAATAAAGCTGAAATTCAAAGCAATGCCATGTTTACCATGTAGATTCCAGCTGATAATGCTGGAAGGGAAGTAACTTGTTATGAATAGTGAGAAGAGGGGTAATTTGGACAGAGAAATACAAGGAAAGGGGAAATTGAGGAAAACGGAAAGCAGGAAATAGAATGGACAGAAGAACAGAGCATCTGGAGCTGAAGTTCTTTCTTCGTGCTGTGGAAGAAAATGCCCATTTGTTGAACAGTAGTAGGCACACTGCAAAACTGCAGCGGTACTACAGTTTTGGAAATAAGAAAACCTGCTGGTCACGTGACATCTATATTTAGGAAGTGACTTTGATTTCAGCAACTTAAAGTAGCGGAAATGCCACGGATAGGTCCAACCAGATTTACAGTGGTAAATCTGAAGTAAGAAAAGGAAGTAGCAGTGGTAGTAATAGCGATAACGGGAAGGCTAGGAAAGACAAGAGAAAATGGTCCTTGTCCAGTCACCCATCATAGATGTTCCCTTCCATGCAGGTAAACCAGCTGCTATTCGTACTCGTCAACTTCTGCTTCCTTATGGCTGGGGAAGGTGGAGTGCAGAGATGCATAGTTCCTTACCTGAACAACGCGGCGAGCAATCTGTCTCCCCACAGAGGCAATGCACCATGTTTTCTTAGCACTGAAGAGCTTTTATTAGGCATTGAAGAATTCTAGAACAGAACAGCAGGAGTTGTGTATCTAAGCCTTACAGCTCAATAACTGTTTGCCGCATGTTTTGGAGTTCGTTGTTATTCGTGCTCTTTCAGTTGGAGACAGAGATGCTTTATTGCTGCTTTTTTTTCTCTTTCTTCTCAGGACTGTATGATGGTGGGTCTACATACATGTGGCGATCTTGCTGCAAATACACTACGAATTTTTACTGCCAAGCCTGAAATCAAAGCAGTTTGCAGCGTAGGCTGCTGCTACCATCTGTTGTCAGAACAGTTTGAAAACCAAGAAGGTAATTCTTCTGAGCTTAACTTGTGGCTGCCAGTTTGCATGTTGAGAGTATTATACCTTCTAATTAATAACCTCCTTGTGTTTGTTCCTTTCCAGTGGCTTATTTAGTACTGGTTTTAATTACATTATGTGGGTCATTCACTCCCGGATGCCCTGTAGCTTTTCTGTTATGCCAATATTCCTAATATTCTTGCTGAAATTAGGGACATTAATGCAGAATGTTTTTATGTGGTTATGAATACAGCTGGTTTTATTCCATTACTTCACTTGTAAAACGTGGAGACTCTTTTAGTCCAATATGTTTTCATCCTTTTGAAATATTCTGTACCAGATTTTGCCCTTGGCTGTCTGCATGCAACATCCATTTCTGTTGAGTTGTACATATACAACTATGAGCAGAATTAAGTCCTTGTAATGTAAGTTACTACTCCAAAAACCACTCATCTGAGTGCTGTGCTCTGGGGTATTGCCAGTTTTAGAACACTGTGGAACAGTACATATGTAACATTTTTTCTTGGGGAGACAACCTGAAAATTGTTTGCGGATTCACACTATAGGCAAATTTTCTTTCAAATGTGGGTTTTTTTCATTTTTGATAGAAAGTTGCTATCTTTACTTGAAAGGTAAATTCTGCATAATGAAAAACATTAAATAGCTGGCTTTCCTGAGACAAGCAGTATGTAGCTGAGCTGCCTAAACCACCGTCTGCTGAAGTCCTAGAACCTGATCATCATATCAACCAAATTTGAGAGGGGGGTGTACTGGCAAAGTTTCTTTCAGCTCTTTCAGGGAACTTCATGGACTGAAAGGCAGGTGGAACCCAGCTGCTGCTCTTTAACAGTTGGCTGCTCAGGCAGCTAAGGCACAGCTCCAGACTGACCGTGACACATGCTAGCTCTTGCTTGCTTTAATGATCTTTTCATGTTGTTTTCATCTTGCTCTGCAACAATTTTAAGACTTTTTGCAGTGTATTAGTTTCAGTTATTTCACAACACTTCAAATCACCCCAAAAACAAAGAAAGGAAAATTCAATCAAAATTTCCAACTTAGAGAAATGCAATTAGTAAAAACCATACAATTCCTTTAACATCAGAGTTTTGGAAAATGATTAACTTTTCAGGCACTTGTCATTAAGTTTGTGTGTCTGAAGCCTTTGATTGTTTCTTATTATTGCAAAAAGGACACAACTTCCTGTTCTAGCTGTAGGATTACTTTTTCCAGGCCAGTGCATAAGGATTTACGAAATTATTGTTACTCAGACACCACCAAAGGATCAGGTGTGATAAGCTATTCAAAGTTCAAACTAGCAGACATACATGCATGGCGCCAAGAGATACTGCAGTTTCATAGCAGTATGGAAATGAAACCAAATTGCGTGTTGGAATTTCTAGCTGTTTGATTTTTCTCAGCTTGGAGGATAAAAGTTGTTCTCAAAGAAGAACTTTTAGGCAGAATAAAAGGAAATTACAGTATTCTTTTTGGGGGGGAAATAACACATAAGTAGTTCCAGTGATGCTCAAAAAAAATTTGATTTTTTTCTTTACTATTACTATAAGGTAGGTATTCTAAAATCTATAATGCTGTTGTATTCCCCTGGAAAAGACATCTACTATATGGCTTGTTTTTAAATGCACAGTGGAGTGGTGAGAGCGCAAAGACTTGACAATATTGAAGAGCTAAAATTTCTTCAAAGGGAAAGTGGGAAAGAATTAGGGCTATAGTTTGTGTCTACACTTCCTATGCGTAGATTTCAAACTGACAAGGAATTCTAGAGGATGCTAGAGAACTCTGTAACTAATCAGATGGTATGGATCCAACAATTCACTTGTTCAAGAAGTAAACTAATTCCTCTTGCAGCTGTCTGAGGCCAGTGAATTTTGGTACTGCTTTCAAAATGGATCAAATCATAGAATTGGGATAAACCAGTTTAAGTCAGAAGTGGCCATCTGGTCTGGATCACAGTGCAAGGCAAACCAACTTAGATCAGGTTGTTCAGGGCCTTGTTTCTGGAGGTCATCTGGTCTGGATCACAGTGCAAGGCAAAACCAACTTAGATCAGGTTGTTCAGGGCCTTGTCCAGTCCTGTTTTGATTATCTCCAAGGGCGGTGATTCAGCAGCCCATTCCAATATTTGCCCTCACCACAAAGTTTTTTTCCTCCTATCCATTTAGAATTTGCATCTCTCGTGCATTATCTATTGTCTTTTCATCGTGAACCTTCAAGAAGAGTCTGGCTTAATCTTTTCTGTTTCTTTTCCATTAGGTAGTCAAAGAGAGTAGTTAGATCCCTCCTTGACCTTCCCTGTAGTGGTAGTCCAATAAGCAAGGGCTTGCCTGCAAGGACACAGTGGGAAGTTCTGTTATATAGCATTTTATACTAATTGTATCTTGACTTAGTAGCTTTAAGGCTTCTCTGTTTGAATAATGTCAGTGCTCTATTTTATATTGATATTAATTTCTTGCCCAGTTTAAAAGCTTTTTTATCTTTTCGAGGACAAAGTTGAGGCAAGTCCACCTCAAAGCTCCTTCCCCCAAAGTAGTACGTTTTCCATCTTTGCTGCTTCTTTTTCTTTAATGTAAATGCAGATAGTTGTTATAAGCCTAGTCAAAGCAGATGTGCCAGCACACGAAAAAGCTGCTGTGGACTGGCGGTTGCCATAACTTGAGGTGGATGGGCTCTGTGTTGTCTGGCAGTTAAGTTTTATTTAATACCAAGATCAGTCTTGTTTGAGGCCAGTGAAAAATTGCTTTTTCACTTCATATTTGTTGGAATTAACTGATATTCATGGGAATAAATTTTACCTGTTTCAATGCCTAACGTAGTGTTTGTAAGTCTGAGGTGGTGAGCTGATAAAATATCAACAAAATGTTACTGTGCTATTTTTGTCAGGCTATTGAATCGCCTTGGTTATCATGTTTGGGCTTTTTTTTTGTCTCTGAGGGACAGACTACAAGGAATAAAATCTTACATTTTTCATATATTGAAAAAATAGTAAAGATATTGCAAGAGTGCTTGATTCAGTTTGCTATTGAACCCGTTGTGAATACTTCAGAATCATTTCTGATCAAAATAGGTGCCAGTAGTCACAGTCTTGAATAGTGCAATAAGTATATGGTGTCCTTCTATGTATCTATAAATAAACTAATTTAGTCTGGAAATATTTGTAATGGGACCACATTTCCAATTATGCTGGGAATAATTTTGAAGTCTTAAGATGATCAAACCTTTGTTTTCATTTATTAGTAACTACAACAACCAAGAGGTGCTGTATTTTCTCCATCCCATTTATGATTTTACAGATTTTTCATTCCCCCATTGTCTTCCAGCTTTAATTTTTCGTATCACTTGCTCCTGTTATTAAAATGTTCCTTACTTACGACAATCCTGCTTCTCTTCTCTGCACCTTTTTGGGTGGTATTATTTGTTATCAGAGGTGAGAAAAACAAATTTTAATTCAATTTGAAGAAGTTGAAGGCAGTGACTTTTAACACCTATCTTTAAATTTCACTGTTGTTGTAAGCAGTACCAAATACTAAGTTTCAGTTAATAAGGAATATTATGACAGTTCTTGGAAAATTCTAAGTAGCTTTACTTTGGCTTTCTCTAAGGAGAATTGGCTATTTATACAGAGATTCTTCTGTGGATAAAATGCACTTAACCGTGAGTATTATTGATTCCTTTGGGGTTTTTCTGTTACTGCATTGAATAGTCAATTACATCAGAGGAGTAAGGATTTTACTATGTATTAGAGACTTTTTACATAAACCTATTTACATAGTGAGCCATTATAACAGTTTTTCTGGAAAAAATCAGTTTGCTAATGATTTTTAGGTTAAAACAAACTCTGTGCCTCTGTTTAGGAGCTATTCTTAGGATTTGGGGGAGCTGTTATATCTTACATTCAGCTAATACATTTCTGGGGCAATGTACCAGCTGGACTATAATTATCCTTTAACAGACAGTAACTGCACTTTTAAGATATTTTCAAAAAGACTTGATTTCCCTTAAAAAGGAACTGATGCGTTTCTGTATTCCAATTCTCTTCCTTCCATCCTCCATACAACCAAACACATCAGTACCAGTCTATAAACTAGGGAAATTCTTCAATATGATATCCTCTGTTTTGAGGAAAAAACACATGAACGTCACTATTGCTAAGGAGCTACTTATAAGTATTTCATAATTTAAAATAAGACATAGGTGTAATTGTGTAGGTAGTTTCAATGATAGTTGTCTGATAGAAACCCTTTTTGAGGTTAGCTTGAGTACTGCTAATCATGAACTCCAGCTTTTGTAAGGGTTTCCAGTGTCAGGTCACTGCTCTAGGAAAAAGAAGAAATACGCTGGGCTGAGGAGTTCTAGAGCCAGCCTGGAAGCTGTGAAGAATCGCTTGTCGATAAGGCACTCTGGAAGAAGTCAGCAAACCTTTTCCAGAAGACTAAGAGTCTTGGACTCTCAAGTTACATAAATACAAACTTTTTTTTGTTATGCTCTAACTTATAAAAGGTAGTGAACATAATTAAGGGAACCAAAAGGGATGCAAAGGGTAGTCAAAATGCACATACAGAATTTTATCAGATTTGTGAAAACAGAAAAGCCCTTGAATAAGGTGGATTCAGCGGATGAAGACTTCAAAACTGAATTTTGTAAAGGATTCCTTACGCAAGCATAACGGCTTCATATCACTCGGTTCCACTGAAATATGGAAAGATTAGTCACTGTTTTAGAAGTATTGGAGTACAGATGATTTATGTGTTGCCTAGGTATATTTTCAAAGATATTCCACAGCCAATATCTTAAAATAGCTATCATTGATACCATGGCAACACAGGAAAACACTTGCAAGCAAAAGATCAAAAAGCTTGATTTCCTTTCCAAGGCATCTTTAGGTATTGCTGCACAGGGCACATTTCCATGAATTTGTGACAGAGCTAACTAGTCACTAAAACCCAGATGTTTTCTATCAAAATTGATCCTGAAAAAAAAATGAAACTTGAAAAA